ACACTCTCTCTCTCTCTCTCAATCACTCACTCACACGCTCTCTCTCTCTCTCTCTCTCTCACTCACTCACACACACACACACACACACACACGACGCGTTACTCTGCGCTGCGCAAAACTCTGCATTTGAACAGTCAATAGCAAATACTTAAACTAATAACAAAACATACTTACAGTCGCTGATTCAGAAGAGCCAGATTGTCATTGCAAAGTCGGAATTTACCCTTTTTTTTTTCTTCTTTTTTTTTAGAAATAGCCTTTGTGCACAGCCAGCCTTGTGCTCTTCTAGGTAAAAAAAAAACTGTCGTCCATAAAATGCGTTGCACAAATTCGAACATCTGGGTTGTGCTGTTCTGTTGTAAATAAATCTTAACCAATGATTCCTAATTGCATCTACTTCCGGAAGGCCAAATAAAGTCCTTTCGTACTGAATCACACAGCGTCGCCCTGACATGGCTTTATCAACACTACTGCTGTTCCTGAAGCCACGCCTTCTTTCTTTGCGTGCACATTTGGGCGGCATTATGCTAATATTTCCACATAGTGACGTAGACATGTGGGGGTGTGTTAGAACGAGCCGTTTTAGGTAGGCGTGGCTGACTCTTAACTTTTATAAAGAATATCTCTTTGGATTTGAGACTTTAGTCTTTGCAACTTTACAGATCTTCTTTATGCACCAAGAGCTTGTAACACTCCAAAGAGAAAGGAAAACTGGAAATCGCATCATATGACCCCTTTAAAACTAAAAGTATGTTAAGTATGCATAAAGTATGAATCCAATCTGGACTTATTACATCTGACCTACAACATCAGCTGCATCACTGTTTCCTGTCATTAACCAAATATGACATTCCTCTCCTATGGCCTCATGGGATAGAAAAACATCCACTGAATGCACACTTCAGAATTTATGCATGATAATTTCTAAACGCTGTGTAATCAAAACTACTAATTGTTTGACATACTGCGTACCACATAACATATAGTAGGGAAGTAGCCATATATGCTTAATGCTGCAGCCTTTATTATCTGTGACTCAGATATTTTAGCTGTAAAATACCTTCAGCACTGACTGAAAATCTATATAAATGAAACATGCTGTTATTATTGGTTATAATAATAACTCAGTTGTATGATCATGTGATTACAAAATGGCAGCGCCCATAATGTGACAGCCCGCCCTATGTAGAATAAAACAGCTGTTTTTCTTAATCTTCTTCTAATGTGAGTGCACATTTACACAATACTTATAAAAACACTAGTAATTTTTGTTTTGCATTTCTTTAAGCATAAAACTTTAATTATCAGAAATGACTGAGTGTGCCTTTAAGGATAAATAGATCAAAGTTTGACTGGTGGAAACAGTGAAGCATGGGAGGACACGTTACCACAATTAAACCCTTTAATCGGTGCAGGTGTGTTTTAGGCTGCAGACATGAAGCAACACAAATCTGGGAGCGTTTTTGGGCTTAGTCACTTCACATTCACTGGGCTGAGATCCCGAAGAGCGCCGCGCGCTGAATTACGCACAGGGAACGCAACCGCAATCCTGCGTAATAAGGTTAATTGGAAACAGTCAACACGATGAGTATGAATTAAAAGTAATTGTGATCTTACCGTGTATTTGTAGAGTTCCAATATACAACGTGTCTCTTTGCTGTCGTTGACATAACGTGTATAAACAGAGCCAGAAGTCTCATCATAGCGCAAACTCCAGAGCACCTTGGCACATTCATGACTGAAGTCGACCAGCTCTTGTGGGCGGCTGATATGAGACTCAGTTTGGAGTTAAAACCAGTTGCAGAACTTTACTAGAGGAGAGACGCAAATCCCGAGTCTTTAGGAAATCTGAACGCATTTACTAAGGAACAGAGACATGTTCTGCTTACTAAATGCAACAAGAGGTTACATGCTTAAGTTTATAAAGATGCGAAACATATGCTGACGTGTGAGACAAGTTCATAAAGAAACATGATTGCGATTCCGTGCGACGTTTAGTATTTCCTTGTGAAGATTTGATAAGTATTCCACTTTACTCCGACATGAAAATAACTTGTTTTTCTTCAAATGTAAATCCAGTGTTGGTTTATAAGGTCCAAATTTAACAACAACTCCAAACTTCTCATGAAAGGAAAAGGAGACAATTGTTTGTAGTCGCAGGACGCTCTCAATCACGGCCGTTGATAGTTGACAGTGATTAGGAGTGACTGGAGTGCGTTTCTGGGCAGGGCTGAGGACACGGGGGCGTGTCGTTAAAACTTTGAGCCAATCAATGATATAGGGGGTGGGGCCAACATTCCTTAGTTTTTGAAGGTGTGCTGCACAGTGCCCTGACAGCTTCGCTTTCACTGAATGTGGGACAAAAGTCTTTCAATAAGATTTTCCTCGTGAACTTTTGGCTGGTGCAGTCATTTTTGTTTACATTTAAGATATGTTACACTGTTGATGATAGAGTAACATGTTTTAAAAGATTATGGTGACAACCACAGTTTATAAAATGAAAGTCATTCTGCCAAACATTTACTTTTGTATTATACACAAAATGAGGAGCAACATGAGGATGTGTAAATGAGGATTTTATTTTTATTTTTTTTAAGAATACTGCAGTAACCAGTTCTGCACTGCGGATTTATGGATTGTCATAATGTGACAAAATATACATTTTTCAAGTAAATACTGTTGGGTTGAACTTTCTATTCATAAAATAATCCTCAAAAGCTGTAGCAAGGTTTCAACAAAAATGTTTTAAGCAGCACCACTGTTTTAAACAGTAATAATAGTAATAAGCAATGTATGATATGGCACCAAATCAGCATATTAGAATGATTTCTGAAGGATCATGTGATACTGAAGACTGGAGTAATGACTGCCTGAAAATTCATCTTTGCCATCACGTAATAAATTACATTTTAAAATGTATTAAATAGATACAAAAAACACAGTTGTATTAAATTGCACTTATTTTAGTTAACAGCTTAATGTAATTTAGTTAAAAAGTTATATAGTTAAATTATAATAATATTTCACAATATGAATGCTTTTATTTTTTGATCAAATAAATGCAGCTTTGGTGAGCATGAGACACTTTTTAAAAACATTTCTGACTCCAAACTTTTGAATGGTAGTGTGTGTGTGTGTGTGTGTGTGTTATATTATGTTTAATAATATACAATTATATCATGTTTCAATTATGATCATGTTTTTGTTTGGTTATTGTCACCAAATGATGGCTGTTTGATTAACCAGAATAACTAGCTCCATAACAACATTTAAACAGATCCATTTGAAAACCACTGAACATAAAGGACATTTGCTTGGCAGCAAAATCTCCACAGTTAATACACACCCTAATTCTCCTCCTCAGAAACTGGTTATTCATGAAAAGAGCTGTTTTCCTTCACCATTGGGAATGTATTAAGTGCATTTAGCGTGTATCAGCATTAGCCCTATTCAATTACTTTTGTCCTTCTCAATGTGTTGTTTCCGCATACTTTGTATGTCTTTATTCTTTTTATTGTTCCCTTTTGCGCTTTCTTTCAGAATCCCAAGCATGAAGTGACATTATTCCATACTTAAATAGTGCATGAGGACGTATCCTTGATCTTGTTTGAAGTGCTCGACAGCTTCTGGAAACATTGGCTGAGGTCCTGCTCGTCTCTGTGGGAGTCTACATGTTTTGTGTTTGTATGTGTACGTGTGAATGTGTTGATAGGTAAGGGAGAGGCTGAATTAATTCACCTTGCTGACGACAGATATCCCCGGGAGAGTGCGTGTTCAGGCAGTAATCACTGTGGCCACAGTGTGCGGCAGTAGTCGGTGGTCCCTTGTTATTATCTGCGCATGTTAAATTACCGGCCCGAGATGTGAGTAATGCGAGGCAGGTAAGACCAGCAGTGCGGCAGGCCCATCACTCTTAGCGGCAGGTGGAGAGTGTTCTCCAATGACGTTGGGAAGCACGGCGGTGGGTATATTCGGTTGCTAATTCTTCCAAGTCTTCCCCCCGCTATGGCACAACCTATTAATTCCCCTGTCCTCTTCTCATTAATATCACATGATCATGCGGCGGAGTCTTCACTTATGTGATTTGTCCCTCTGGAGGATTCACAGTCCCCCGACAACGAAGCAGAATTCCTCGTTCCCTTGCTCTTACGAACGTGGGATAATTACACAAAAGGTCTCACCCGCCGAGGCCTGAATTGGCCTCTTTGGTTATTATCTAATTAATAAAGCAGCATGATAATGGCGGCCCATACACCGGAGAGAGGTATTCACGCATGGGCTTTCGTATCTGACTCTCTGTCATTTCCTGACCGCAGTTTTGTCCTGTCTCGGAATTAACAGGATATATCTAGGTTTTTGTGGCGGTGGAGCGCAGCTGAGAGCCCTTGTGGAGGTCATATCTGCAGCGCAGCAGAGCTCTGATTTATATAAATGAAGATCTGAGTGCCAGTGGTCCATGTGGGCCGGGTCTGGGCTATTGTGTGGGAGTCTCAGCAGTGCTGCGGTAATTAAGAATCGGGGCTAAACGGGGAACAGTCACCTTGTGCTCCTCCAGGAGCTGCTCTGAAGTGTGTTTCCTGCTCCTGCGATCAGGTGTTGTTCCAAAACTTGCGTCCCCACCTCACCCTGCTCCTGTTTTATGTTGTTTTAGTAAGCTGAACAAGAGCACAGGTTGACAGACTGCCAACATGCACTGTAAAATGATTCCTGGTGAAAAATAAAACATCAAAGAATTGCTTGATTATTGCAGTTATTTATGTTTGCCTACTATACTGAAGTTCCAGCAACTTTCAGGAGCTAAACTATGTAGTATACTCAGATTTTGTTTTTTTTAGGTCATATGAACATGCAAAGAAAGTGAGTTGCGTTTAGATAGGCCTGCACTGAAAAACAAGTCTTTTTTTGTGGTTCATTCCCATTCACAATCTTCCCAGCATGCACTGGGGCATGAATGCTTTTAAAATGGTTGAATTGTTTGACTGTGTAGTTTTATGCTAGAAGCATACTTTATGCAAGTATGCAATAGTTAACGTTCACTCCTGCGTTGGTCTTGCTGTTAACAACCCCAGTACTCCAGGGGTGATAGTTACCTTAAAATGTCGGTGCCATTTAACCTGATGTGTTAGTATTTCAGAAAGTTGACGTAAAATGTGTCTCATTCATTAATGTTGTCATTAGTGTGCGTATGCACAAATTTGTGCATGAAATCTGCTTACAAACACTGTATTTAACTAACTTGTTTAGCAATAATTTCTTCAAACTGTTGCTGTGCCATGACAGTAGCTGACCTGAAAAATTACTTTAAGCAGACTCCCTTTATTGGGATATTTCCAAACAGTCGCAGGTAACCACTGACTTCCATAGTATTGAAAAAATACTATGGAAGTCAGTGGGCAGAGGCAACTGTTAGGTAGCAAACATTCTTCAAAATATCTTCTTTTCTGTTCAACCCAAGAAAGAAATCAAACACACGCGCTGCCAACATTTTTAGAAACATCTAGATCAATATACTGCGGCAAACACACTCAAAAGACTAAAATGCCCAGTTTTGTACGCAGTTTTAGCTGTTAGAATTAGCTGCATGCTAGTTCCATCAACTGTTTACAATTCACTGACTGTTCTGTTGTTTTAATCTGAGGTGATATTTTCCATCCGCTAAAACTAACCTCCACATGTGACTTTCAGAATTTTTAGATACACAGACGTACAAAGCACAACACGTGTTGCGTCAGAACAGTCATTTTACAAATGCAGAGATAAGTGATGGACACTAGGGTGACCATACGTGCCATTTTCCATACGTGCCATATTTTAGGCAATATAGAAATCCTGGCCAGGACGCGTCCTGGGAAAATGGCACGTATGGTCACCCTAATGGACACTATATGCTTTTACACACACACACCCCTACATTCCATTCTTAGTGATGTAATACAGCATTCTAGCATTCAAACCTTTCATTCTGTGTGTGACACTCAAACACACACTATCACAGTAAGGGCCAGACAGTTTGTTCTTACCAACTAATAAATCAACCCACTCTCACATGTCAAATAAGGACATGCCATTAACTTCCATTGTTTTTATAGTGTTAATTATACCTATTATGAATTAACCCATACATACACCCTAACCTTATTCAAAAGGATTTTTTAAAAGTTAAACAAGAACAAAAAACAACAACAACAAAGCAATTTACTTTATGTAGGCCTACACTCTAAAAAATGCTGGGTTATTGTTTCTACCCAACTGCTGGGTTGAGCCTGTCTCAAGTAAGAGTTTGACCAACAAGCAGTTAGCCAGTAAGTAATCAGTCTTATTTTTGGATTTAACTTAGACTAATCTATGGTTTAAAAAAATTATGACCAGTCTCAAAGGAAAAATTAGATGGCTAAAAGTAAACTAAAAAGGTTGGAGACCCCTGCCATATACGTAGGATGTGTATACGATGTAATCTGGCTGCTTTACACATAATTCTATAGACATAATTTCATCTTGATCAGAAATTATTAGTTTCATATGCACTCATGCGGAAATCGCCAAGTCAAGCAAGCTGTGTGATAGAGCCTCAGTTTTCATAGAGGTGACGACAGACAGAAAACAGATTGATGGAGATAAAATTCGGACAATGTTTTAAATGTATGCGGGATGGCCTATTTCAGTAGTCTCTGTTTCTAAAACTGATCATGAGACTCTCCAAACAAAAAGATAGATAAGCAAACAATGGCTGACAAACACACACAAGCAGCGAAACAAAGCTACACTCTCGTCAGGCATCATTCCAGCTGCCCTGGGGTCCTGCACACAGACGTATTCCCTAGAAACAAGAGCTGCAGAAACACACAGTGAGCGTCTGGTAAAAAGACTAGCCTGCCCACACAAAAGAGCTTTGGTGGGCCGGGGGGCAGTGGACAGGCTTGTGCTTTGTTGTTGTCTGGCTGGGCAGGGGAGAGGTGAGGTGAATGCCAGAATTTGCCCACGTTTGTATGTGTGCACAGAGCTCTGGGGGTGGTCGCCACAGCAACAGGTCAAAATGACTCTTTTCTCCTCAGGAGATTGTTGTTCTTTGATTTTCCCCTCTTTTTGCACAGGCCACAGAAACTTTCCATTAGCTCAGCATAAACATATGTTAACCTTTATGTTTTCCTCCTGTCCACTTCACGCCATCTCTGCAGCAACAACGACCTGCGAAAATGCTATCCTATTAGTCGTATTTGATCTTC